AATTTAATCATGAAAGTCTTCGTATATATAATTTATGAAATGTCTCTTAAATAAAAATCTATGGGAAAATATTAGATGTATCCTTAATACTGTAGAACCTTCTGGGAGAATGACGGAGTGACAGCTGATTGTTTTATCTTACTTGGCAAAGATCAGACTGATCGTAATCTCCTTCCTGCCCGTATTTTATTAACCCAAAGCAAAACAGTGGTTTCCTTGCTTTTGCATTCGTCCTTCCTGTGTCCTGGCTTCCCTGAGCCTAAACACGTGCAGAAGCATGTCTCGAGAACAGAAGAGAAAGAAGAGAATGGGCAGAGCAGTACTGGGTGGGGTGGGGGAGGAGGGCGGGGAGGGACAGGAAAAGACGGGATCGCTTCTGCTTGGGGTCTGCTGTTGCCTGACAGCATGCTTCCGGCTGGTTCTGTGCCTGGCCCGTGGCAATGGAGAAGGTCCCCAGCAAGGATCTGATATCTCCTAGTTCGAGAAAACACTTAGAACTAGATCAGCTCCCTCGGAAATCCAGATTCTTACAGGTAGGACTCAATACGTTGTACTGGATTTCTGTTGTGCTAAAAGTAGCTCTGTGAAGAGTACTTGATAAAGTTCTAAATTACGATTTCTGTTTCAGCACCTTCCACTGCCAGGAGCACATGTTCCTGAAAGATGGTATTTTAGCACAGGAATTAAAGAAGCCCAAGAGGAAACTGTAAACTAGGGTGTATGTCTGGGATCTGCCTCTGACCGCAATGGCATTGGGTGGATTTTGTAAAATTCCAAACACCCTGAACTTTTTGAATGAAAATGGACAAAAGTGTACGGTTGTATTTGTTTCCTTTGACTTTATTAGCACACATCAGAAAAAACAGCATTGTATTTAGTGATTTCTCATGATGGTCTATCAGTTAGAAAATAGGTCACTGGTAGCTGCCACTGAGTTTCTGGGTAATCTTAAGTCACTCCTTCTGTTTGTCCATTTCAAGTATGGGTGTTACAAACAGGACCTGCTTTGTTAATTGTCAATCTGAATGCTTTGGAAGCACTTTGAGATCCCAAAATGAACGGGCAAAGTCATGATAGTTTGTTGTTGGCTTTTAATCAAGCTCCAAATGCTGCCCATGTTATAAATGGTGAGACTTTTCAAAATAGGTTCACTATTGTATAGTGAGCAAGATGCCTATAATTTAAGTTAAAAACTTTATTTTCAAGTACACTTGGTGGCAATATGTGGTTCATCCTGGGTAGGGTTTTACAGAGCTGTGCCAACCTAAAAAAAGAAACAAAACAAAAAACACACAATGCTTTTCTCTTCATCAAACGGGGTTTTTTCTTCCCCATGGCGATTGCGATATAATTTAAATTTACATCTTCGAACCACTGGCTGGGCTCTAAGAAAGGGAGACTTGGGAACAGCTGGTGTTCAGATCATCGTTACTTCAGCTTAACTTTCAACTTATGCTTCCTGAACTTGAGCTTCACAACATCAGAGAAGCAGTAATTTGGTATTTTTATCCTGCTTGGTCCCCATTCAGCTCTTCTGTTAGTTTTCTCTATTTGATGGCACCCCCCCCTTTTCATATGCTCATTAAGGTCCCCTGAGATGTGCAAAATATAGAAAATGGAATACAAATTATTTAGCACACGTGGTGAGTACACAGCACTGCTCTTTTAATTAAAATGAAGTTTGGGCTCGATATGGTAGCGTGTGCGTGAAAGCAGCGAGGCCCAAAGTACTTCAAAGCCGGCACGGTCCACATATCTGGTGTGACTTCTACTGAAAACCTAGAATTCAAATCGGATTCTTTCAGGAGTAGAGAGCTGGCTAAATTATGTGTACCAATCGGCTCTTTGCCAGAGAGAACTCTTGGCAGGAATGGGGTGGGTGGGGTGGGGTGGAAAGACAAGAAATTTCAACTTCGTTTCGTTCGTAACAAAATCGAGTGTGCTTTTGTGGGATAGAGAGGAGAGACAGGTTTACATCTGAAAGCGAAATAATGCCGTAAAACAAAACCACGGCCATGAAAAAGTCACGAGCCCACACGGGCAGCCACTGACACACACACAGAACGCCATGGCCGAATGTTTACGAAAGTTTTCAACTTTGCTTTTCTGAACAATACACTTGAACACACTGCTGCCGCTTCATCAAATTTATGGAGGTAGTTCTATGTAAAAATAAAAATTACCATAAAGTAATATGCTGTATCATAATAATACATACGTGTGCAAAATGCCGACAGATGGGTTGACCCTTGAAAGTTGAACGCTACGCAGAGATTCAACCAGATTCAGTTTTGTAAACCTTCCAGCTAAGAAACTCTAAGCGAAGACTGGATAAGCAGCCATGTAACACAACGCTATCAGCGCAGGGGAGGAAACGGGTGCTGGCAACGTTGGCGCGGGCCGAGCGTTTGGTCACTGAGAAGCTCGCCGTTGACCATCTCGGGTCACATCCGTAACATGCTTCCCGCCGCCTCACTCCTCCCCCATCCAAGAATCCTGCTTAGATTCAGACGGGGATATTTCCACACGGAATGTCTGCTTCCATCGGACGGTCTTTAAAGCCCATCTTTTCTACACTAATGGCTCCAGGTCTAAGGGAGTTTCTGGTTGTTTTTAAAATCATGTACCCCGTAGCATCAGGCTAATGGTATACACGTTTTATTTGAATAACATCTTCTGTAAACCTATTTCTTGTGAACTATTGATAAAGTCATATTTTAAAGCTTCTCTTAAAGGGTAATGCTTTCCTTTCCTGTCCACACAGCATTTGATTATCATAATGGCCATTTTCAGAGGATCAACTAGAGGCTGATGTATTGTTTCAATGGTTACGTTATTTATGAACTGATGGTATGATTCAGCGCTTGAGAGCAGGTTTTTTGGGGGGAAAAAAAAACCCAAAACGAATTTAGACAGAAGAATTTAGTATCCGTATGGTATACACCTCCCCAAGGAAATAGACTCTGTGTATAGTCTATTAGATACATTATCATTCCTTCCGGACATATTTAAGCCATGAGACAAATAGTTCATTTCTGGGCAATCAGGGCATGCCTTGGAAGAAATAAGGCATGAGACTCAAAGCCAACTGACCTAAGCATTTTAGTGGCATAGGGGCTTACCAAGAAACGTGCTGACGTTTCACTATAGGCATAAAAAAAAGGAATCTAAGCTTGATGAGTCCAGTTTGACTCAATGCAACTTGCAAATATCTGAAAACGCATGAGGGAGTATCCATATGTTTCAAGAATCAGTCCAACTATGTGTAGGACTGCGTTCCTTAAACAGATCCCTAGGGATCGAACCTAATACTGAAGCAGAAATGTGTCACACATTTTTATGCCAATTACTGAAGTCCGAGGCGGAAAGACTTTAGATTTATTTTTGGGTATGTATTTTACGGTCTGTGGCTCCAAACATCACGTGCCACTAAACTAAAACGTTTTGCCAGACTTTACTTGTGTCATATGTAACCCTTCTGCAAATACCTGTTCAGTATCTACCGTGGTTCTTAATAAAATGGGGGAACTTGGAAGTGTCTCTTCTCTGTAAAGTGGAAGCCCGGTTATTTGTATTCCTTTGCTGCTTAGAGTCTTCTCCATATTCAACATGACGTTGTAAACCAAAGCAAAACGTTAACAAACCATTCTGAAATAAGTTGGGCCAATAACTATACATCCGCCTAAAAACGCCTCCTGAAATTGGTTACAAAGTATCTGTAAACATCACTCTGGCATAGTTCATGTATGCATAATTGTCATTCTGATAGATTTTTGGGGGGAGTACAAGTTCGGATTATACCATACTTGCAGAATGAGCACATCCTGTTGGTAAGTACATGGGCACATGTATAGTTCTAATCAAAAATTACTTTTTAAAGTTTTCTCTATAGATATCTTTCCAGGAATAAAAGGCCTGAAGTTCAACTCTCCCTAAATTTGCTCTTTCCTATAACCACTAAAAATGATCTCCCATAGCCTAATTTAGGCATTCTATTTAAAACTACATAAAATAGATTAATGTCCTTCCATTAGAAAGAATAACATCCCCAGGCCATACTCTTCATTTGTATCACAAAGAACATTTTGCTTTTAAACAAACTAATTATCGTTATCTATTATAGTAAGATAGGATCATCATAAGTATCACAAGGAGGAAATTATCTTCCTTAAATATTTGATTAACACCAGTTAAGAGTCCACATTTCCCTCTTCCATCACTCAGTGCTGTGCCCCAGCCAGGCTGGGGATCCCCTTCCTTCGTCCACTTCAGAATCAAAGGCCTATATTCCTGTTTGTGATTATGGAAGGTTAAAAACTCAGACAAGCATCTGTTACACTTAAAAACAAAATCCTGAAAACAGACACTCCCAGAATTTCGATCACGACCCCTTCTGACACACTTCCACGGGCTCCTGCAAAATCATGTCACGAAAACTCACAGTGAGAAATGACTGGTGCATGAACAATTCACACACAAGGGGCTGGGGTCCCTTCTGGTCAGTCTGACCTTGATCTCCCTCAAGGCGGACCCTCGCATTTGACGTTTTGTGGTGGCTTAAGCTTTTTTTGTTTTTGTTTTTTTTGTTTTTGTTTTTGGAAGTGTCAAGGATCAGTTCCGTGGCACCCTCTGACCACAGACTGGGAGCAACACGCATCTGTGGCATTTAAAAATGGAATTGGCAACTTCATGACATTGGAATGCATATCACACTTACAGTGTCTAGACTTTCCTATGTGTGCTCAGTTACAAGTAGTGAAGCAAAAGTATACATATCACCCCTACTACTGCTATTCGGTTGCTACAGAGCCATACATGTGAAAAGCAATACTCCGAAATAAAGATTTTTGTTTTTTGCCCTAGCCTACTCAGCGGCACAGTTTAAGTAAACACAAAAACTGCGGTCGAGATGCTCGTCTTTCCCAAGATGTAAACATCAGTCCCAGTGTCGTAAACTTGGCTGTGTCGGAGGAGCCAGGAGATCTGAGGCAGAACGACAGTCACACACTGGTAACAGAAGCCTGCAAGCAGTTGGAAGGTTTCTGTAATTTCTCAGCTTCGTTCGTCGCGGGGTCCGTACTTGCTCGGAAGCTGAAAGCCGGACCAGCCCCACCGTGCACCGGGCTCAAGGTAACGTTCTGACGACGGTTACTTTCAACAATGCTTGACGTGTTGGAAGCCAGGCTCTCCCGAGTGCTAAAAGAGTAAAAAGGGTTTGTTTTGTTTTGTTTTACACATAAATAATTACCTCTTGAGCCCCAGAGGAAGAGCAAATGATGTAGTTAATGGATTTCCTGTCGGCTCATGATGTCACATATGCCCCATCTCACGCTGATTAGTCACATACGCTCTTTCAGCGTGGGCTCCAGAAGCTTTCACACACGTGTTCTAGTAAACGGCACCCTGAATGACAGCTTTCCACCCAGCTAAACGCATCTTCAATGTTTTCCCCTTCCCTTCCCGTTCAAGGAAACCACTTCCAAATTTGATGTGATGGATGGCTATCACACATTCATCTGAGAAAAGAATCCTCTTAAATACACATACGTAGTGATTTCATTTCAGGCTGGAAATTCATTGAGAAAAGTGCTCTTGAACAAACTCAGTTTTGCCCCTAATGATGCTGTTTTCATTCCCGATTAGCAGATTTTGACTCTGGTTGGACTTCAAGCATGCCATTAGCTAATGTGCCACACTGATGGGAATAAAATTCTTCTTAAAGCACTTGGTACCTCTGTTTCCAATCTTAACACTTTTGTGGAAATACATTATATTTTCAGAAAAGGACTCTTAAAATTTCCCCATTAATTTGTGAAGCTTACATGCCCTCCCCCTGCTTTGGTAGAAATATTTTATTTTTCAGAGTAGAGGTAATTTAAAGGCTTTAGCATTTCTATTTCTCTTTCAGTTTTTCTTTTTTTTTT